ATGCCCACGTGTCATTCATTGCACAACACTGTTCTTGGCCCCAAATGGTGCTCATCAAAGATGTTGTGTGGCATATGGGAGCACGAGGAAAGTAAACTTTCTAACCGTTGGATTGTCGATCTTCTTTACGCTTTCATTATCGGTTCATTTCTGGCTTCCTTCTTTTCACGAAACTAACGGCAGGACACTGATGTCCATTTTAATGCCATCAATCACGAGTGGCTTGTTTTAAATTTAGAGTCGAAAAAAACCATATGACAAGCGCAGTGTGTAGTCTCCTGTTTCTTTCCAAGGAGATTCTACTCATTTATCAACCTCCAAAGAAACTAAGGCAAGAACTGTACCAGAGATCGGACATGGAACATCTGTTTTCTGAGTCCGGCGCTACATCAATTCGACAATCCCCGCCAATTCAAACGCGGACCTTTGAAAGAAACCGGATCCTACATACTTGTTCAAAAATCTTTCCATGTCTTCAAACTTAACTTAAATGATTAACCGCATAACTGTCATAGTTAACCATGGAGACAGTTATGAATTTAGTGTGACTGAGAATCGTCATTTTCCGCCGCCATTGGTCACCTACCTTTTGTACCAACAAACTGAACAACCGCTTCAATGTTTTAAAACATGAATTAACACGCCATCTAAAATTTCAACATTGGGCAATAAATCGAAAAGTCCAGTCATATCTATATATTTTAATTTCAGTTGCTACGGTTTAAATTTACTCTTTACAAACAATATCCAGTTTCCTCACCTGACGCGTATCAAAGCCCAAAGAACACATCGCCATCAAAAGCCTGCAATTTTTTCTTTGAGCATTTCTCTGCTTAGAAACACATGTTTTGCTGTCCATATTCTGTATCTAAAATATCTGTAATTACAATATAAATAAATTAAATTCCAGACGTATTGCCGATTAAGGGTTGAAGGTAGCGAGTCACACAGATTTTAATAGCTTAGCTCATATTCCGTAGCATCACCAGGGCAAAATATCTGAATTGTATACAGCGAAGCGCATTTGTACTAAAATTGTCAAATCTGTGTGATTTGGTGTCCCTGACAGTTAATCGGCAACGCAACGCTTCATTAATTTTGTCAATGCACCCAGAATCAAAAGTGCAATGATGTCTTAATAACAAATTAAAAATAAATACTCAGTATAACTGATTTTTTCAATATTTCATTTTGAACCGAAACATATTAGCACACGCTATGAGTAAAAATTGTAAAAAATAGATGACTTCACGTTTGTGACTGTCTCGAATTTCAGTCTGACCTGTGTACCGACACCATTATTGTCTAGAACTTTGATGGGTAATTCGATTTGGCTGTCGATGAGTTGTGCCACCTCATAAATTATCAGTTCTTGCTTGGCAATTTGTCCTTCTCTCTCAACCGTCCCGTACCCCAGGCGTCATTTCTGCAAAAAGGCTGAAGAAAGGACTGGACATCATCTGGAAGCGGAATGAGCCACTGGTGCATATGACCAAGGAGGAACCATTTGAACTCGAAATCGAAATGACCATTGGCAAACTCCCGAACAGTTATAAACTGAGCCATCAATGTACATTCGTGTAATGTACGTGCGAATTGTTAATTGGAGAATAGAATAAATGTGTGTTATGCAGTCAGGAGAGGGTCATGAGGCGTTGTACTCTGCCTGAAATATACACTGGTTTTCAAAATCTCGAGAAGTGACTGAAGAACTTTGAGTTCTGTGTCAAAGCGAGCCGATGAGAAGATATAGAAAGAATATATTTTCTGCCGATACAGCTAGGAAGAAATACTCTACGAAGAAATGCGTGCCGCACGATTGACGGTACAGCCTTTGAGGACACCATCGTGATCCTGTCGAAAAGTTTCTGTGCAGTAGGGCAAGGAGTATAACCTCGAGCCTCAAAGCGTGGTCACAGTTATTTCCAATTCGCTGAATGGTCCGCAGCCTGACAGAAACAGTCTAACCCAGCTCGAATGCAGCTGCGACAGAAAAACCGTTTGATAGGTCCATCACAAAGCTACATTATCCTTCAGAGTTACGGACATTAATATGGCCTGAATACATCAAACAGAGATCGACAGCGTGGCTATCGTAAGCATCAGACATAGTTTCTACGTAAAGAACGGTTATTCTCTGGATGCAGATTGGACCACTGGCAGGTGACTACTCGCCCTGATTGGACCATCGGCAAACTCATGAGAAGCTATGAACTGACATGTCAAGGTAGCGGTGAATTGCTGGTCCGTCGTTGGCAAATAGAATAAAGTGCGTGCAATGAAGTTAGAGAAAAGTGTGTCACGTTTAAGACACAATGAATAATGTTTCGCACTGCTTTTTTAATATTGACGTCCTCATAACGGCAAAAAATAAATGTCCCTATACCTGAGAATGTGAATAAGCAATTAGCTTCTTCAACAATTTCCTTCTGACACCCAGGAGCAAAGGATGGTTAACTGGAAACGTTAAGAGTTTGTTAGCTCACTCAAACTTACGAGGCCATATGTCTGGCTACATTCTATGAAGGAGTACCGCTGACAACCAGTGATTGGCGATAGCAAGTGAAACAACGAAAGATCCATCGAATATCGCAGATGCCCTAATATCATCGAAACGTCGCCATCGTAGCAAATCTCTGGGTAATGAAAGGCACGGTAAAGTTAGATGCTTCTTTCACAATTCTTTTTAGTTCTTTTGTACAACCATGTGTTGTCACAAAAGCAGCGCTAGATCCTGATCTAGTGACTATTTCAAAATTAAATTTTGGCTGTCATATAGACAGAAATAGATTTGCAAAATTCTGAATTATGAATAATAATCTTGATAATTTAAATGATTGAAATTAACCTACCCTACCGAAGAATATTTCATTTCTGGGTAAGAAGTGTTCAGGCCAAACGTTGTCCAGGTACCAGGCAAAGGAATGACAACCCAGTCGTCGCCGTAGTTCGATGCGGGCGGAGCAATTGACGGACCGTGCGATCTCTGCCTTTACTTAAAAGCAAGACCGCCCATGAAGTACATTTATAAATTTTAGTACGTCGTAAGTATACCTGGAGAGAACCGGTAGAAGAAATGCTTCCATTCATCCAGCCACACCTCAGCCACTCTGACCAGGTTTGTGTTCAGAATAGACGACGATCCTTCTGGCGGGAAGTCATGCGGTGACACCTTCCTAAACACGTGTCCCACATGAGAGCACGGTAAGATTTCCACTTTTCCGCCGCATTGCCATATCTATCTTTCGTATGTGATTGCCGCACTAGAAGAATGTGAGTAGCAAAACTTACTCGAAAAGACATCTCCAGATTTTCACCGCCCCAGATCTTCATCTCTTCGTCATACGTCCCCATTTCGTTAAAGTAATCCTTATCGATTGCGTATAGTCCTCCGGCCATTGTGGGTGTCCTAAATTGATGAAAAGGTGA